CTGGATGACATATCAAAATACATTATCTGTGCAATCACTGTTCATGTACCTGAGTAATTAGTATCTGTAATGTGTTTAATGATACTTCTCCATAACTTGAGAAACCAAAACAGATAGTCTACCTCTGAAGATTGTTCTTACAAGTCTAGATAAACTTTAATTGATATAAATGTCATAGAAAATTAGAGTCACCTCTTATATATTTTCTATTTATACACTCAAAGTCATTTGAAATTATTTTCAAAGTGATTTTCCCCTATGAACTTCTTCTGAGACTTTGAGGATCTGCACACTAAAAAACTGTAAAAATTGAAAAACCAGAGTTTAAAGGTGAATTGGGTTTCAATAGGTCAAATAGTAATTGAAAATTGGAAAATATTTATATTTTCTAATCCTTAAAATTATAAACCACTCAATAAGATATGTCTAATTATATAAGCGAATGAGTAAAATATAAGTATCATTACTTTATAATTTATACTAAATAATTTTAACTGTATATTTTTTTTTACTTCAGGATTTATTTGCTATCATGTGTAATTGCATCAAATGTAAAATTTTTCTTTAGTATTGTCTTAGCAAAGAGATAATTAAGTTATCTACTTTTTGGGGGGTGGGCTGGGGATTTAGCTCAGTGGTTCCTCTGCCTGTCTTATGAGCACAAGGTCCCAAGTTTGATCCCCAGTAAAAAAAAAAAAAAAAAAAAAAAAATTATCTACTTTCTAAGGCCTATTGTATTTAACATGAGGTAGGGTCATTCTTTAGACTATTACAGCAAAATTATTTTCTTTATTAGTTAAAGAATATTACACTATAAATTATTAGAAAAATAATTTAAAACACAATGACCATTTAAATAACCTGCAAATTATAGATTTCCATTTTGTGCTATATTATAAACATGATAGCTATATATTGTTAATATATAACATGATATTTATTTATAGTTTGAAAGAATAATGTGATGTTTTAACTCTTCTTTGTATTAAATAGTGATGCACTAGGGTAATTAGCATATCATCATCTTAAAAGTTTATCACTTCTCATTTTATCTCAAAATTATCTCTTCTAATTATTTTGAAATTATATAAAACATCATTTTAATTATATTCACCCTACTGTGCCATTGAATACCAGAATGTATTGCTCTTGGTCCTTGCACTTGCAAGGCAGGCCGCCGAACCGCTGAGCTAATTCCCCGGCCCGTGAATGTATTGCTCTTAAGAAACTAAAATATTGTACGTTTCCCCATCTTTCCTTCACCCTATTCTCCCCAGGCTCTGATAACAACTATATTACTTTTGACTTTCATGGTATCAACATTTTAGATTCTAATTATAAGTAATATCACAGGCTGCCTTTCTGTGATTAAACATAGTCTATCAGAATATGCATTTTTTGAAAAGAACACATCAGAATATGGTGTGCAGTTTTCACCGATCCACTGACAGAGACTTAGCTGATTTTCAGCTCTCTGTGGATTCTTTTTATAAAATAGAAATGGACAGTCAAGACCAGAAAATTATGTTCAAGCCACAAGACTGGAGAGAGAAGCTTTAAATGTGACACAGTGGTGACATCAGCGATAGTCCGTGAACTATGAATTTCTGAGTGAACACAGACCTATTAACATATATTGTGTAATATTGAGGACTAATACTTTTGAAATCTCCATAAAATTGACATTACTCACTTAAAGATTCTAGAAATTACTCTTCATTTATTTGAAAAAAACAATATAATGGAAAGATCTTTGGTTTGCTTTCAATATTTTTTAAACAATAACTTTGTTTTTATTTTATTTTAATTTATTGGAAAAAACATGCTGTTAAAAATGAATTGATTATAGGGCCAGGGAACTATCTCAGTGGTTCTGCTTCCTGCCTCTGAAGTGCAAGGTCCCTGTTACCAAAAAGAAAAAAAAAAAAGAATCAATTATAGCAAATTATCTTTCCAAATAAAAGTGAAGATCAGATTACTGTTACAGTATACTTGGAAATTCTACCTGGAAATTTAAATTTTCTGCTAGATATTTCTTATACTTGAAATGTACAATATTTTCAAATTAACAGCTATTTAATAATCATCACTAATTCATAGAATCATTACATAATTATTTTGTTTTATTGTTAAATTCAACTGTATATATTGTGATTTATTTTATTTCTTATATATCTATATTTTAGAAAATATTTTATCTGTAATATTTCTTTTCTTCCTTCAGTTTCTTTTAATGCTTATGTCTACCTTCCAGCTAATGCTGCATAGTTCTCTACTTAAACATAACCATATAGAGAGTCTCTGTCTTTTTAATTCTTTTTTGTTATATTCAAAACAATACTAGAACCTTTTGATTTTCACTGCAGTAAAATTGCACAAATGATTTCAAACAGCTTATTTCAGAGCAGCCACACAAATACCCACTGTTTATGCAAATTTTTTCCAATTATCTAAAAGTTTTTAGAACAATGACCGAATAAGTACGACCCTTCTCCATAAAATTGCACTACTAATAGGCTCTAGAAACTGTCTTTTTTATTTTCTCCTATGTAAATGAAAAATGTTAAACTTCTGTGCACTTTAATGTTATTAGAAACCAAAACCAGTGGGGGGGTCTTAGCAGAGGCTGATAAATTGTTTTCAAACAGTTGAATAAGAAGGCCTAGGATGTGATCATCTCAATATTACACTTAAATAGAGACTGTGCCAAAACAGTTGAAATTATTCTACTTTCTTTAAGAGGTAGTATGTGCCCTTATTCTGACCCTAAAGAGATTCACAGAATATAAATAAGTGTTTAGCATTGCTTCAGAGATTTTAGTTATGTGCAACCTGCCTTTGTATCTCAAAATATCATTGTTTATAAAATATTTTAGAAAAAACACACATGACTAGAATATACATACTTGTAATTAAAAGTCAAATGCATTTGAGAAATTCATTTCTTCAAACAAATTAATTACAAGTACATTTACTATGTTCATAGATAATTCACAATTATTTATGCAAAAGTAACCTTGTAATATACATATTGTTCTGTGACGTAGAAGATTCAAAAGGGAAATATCAGCAAAAAGCTTATACTATAAGTGCAAATAAGAAAGCATTTTCCTAAAGGTATTATAAATTCTAATATTAAATTGTGCTGAGTATGTTTTTATAAAATTGTAAATAGGACTTTACGTGTTTATTGTTTTTCTTCAGCTCTAGACAAATTCAATTAGTAATATAGATAAGATTTTTAGAAATATAGATAGTATTTTTCAGCATTTTATAACAGAAAACCCAAAGGCTGTATTTGTTTAGTACGACAAATAATCTCAGTTTGTTTACTTTTGGGTGAAATAAAAATAGAAAACCCAAAAACAAAAATTATTTTGATCAACAATCAAAATGAACTGTTTATCAAAATTTTACTTTGGCTGACAATTAGTATGCAGTTAAATTATCTCCATTAAAACAAATGCTTTCTTTCACTGAATTTCAGAATTATCCATATCTGAAAATTGTGAAGAAAGGTTAACTTTTATTATCATTGAAATTTCCTTGCAGTGTCAAAATGTAACAATTATTTGATTTTACTCTATGAATATAAAATTCACAAATTAGGGTAAAACATTTTTAGTTCCATAAAGTTGTTTCTCTTAACAATAGAAATTTAGAAACTCTCTGTGGAAGTATAAGTTGGAAATTGCCTGTTCAAAGAAATTTATGATTTTATTACAGCTGCATATTGACTCTTCCTTTAGCAACCCACAGGCAGAAAGTAACAGTTTACATATTCAAACTGAAAATGAAAATAGGCAAGAAAAATAATTAGCAAGTAATAAAAAGTAATGGAAAAGCACCATAAAAACAGTTTGGAATTTATATGGGTTGTCAGATGGTTAGAAAAATAACACTTTAATTTTTAAAAGCAGGAAAAAAGTATACACGCACAAATGCACAATCTTTCACACACATGCCCCGGTTGACTGAACATACAAAATTTTCAAAGGAAAAAAAGAAACACTGTATTGTATTTTCTTATCTTTTAAAATAATTTTAAATTCTTTACATAATATTTAATATTGTTATTAAAGTGGAAACTTTAATGTGTATTCATTCTTTTTAATTGGCAAGAGAGGAAATGTTTTATTTTCTTATATTTTGAAATGTCAGTGACGGTTTTTCATAATTAAAAGATCCTCATTACAAAGCTAATGCATTTATTTAGGCAAAACTTACACACATAACAATAAATATATTCTTGGCAGTGCCATTCATAACAATAGTAATACTGACACAGAATTTTTCAACATGAAAATTTCTATGCTTAGAAAAGTAGCATATTATTTGACAATTCTTGCTAAAGTAATATTATATTACTTACTGAATTATCAACACAGAAACAACCGCTTAAGTTTAATGTTTAGAATATTATTCACTAGAGTATTCATAAAAAAAAAAACAGATGCTCTGATGTTGAGAATTATAGCCAAGACTAATTTACAGCACGACTAAATTAGTAACTAAATTCGTTTATTAAAAGCTACTTATCTCATTCCTGTTTTTCTCAAAATTTCTGTGTAATCACAATTCCTAAGTAAGCCTCCAAGAAAATGGCAAAACTCTTTAGCCTGGGAGTCAGGTAGTTTCAAATTTCCCCATTTCTTTTTTTCCCAAAACATAAATGTGTATTACATTCCTATTAGAAACTCAAATTGTTCCCACTTATGTGTGTAAATAAAATTTTCTATATACCCTCACACCTTGGCATCTTTGTGCTTGCTGCACTCTTATTAGTCTTTCCGTATTTGCTGTTGTTATCCTCTGCCTCAACCTCATATAAAATTTGGCCTAGAATCCGTACTTTGTGAATTCTTTAGCCTCAATGTACAATCTGGAAGTATCTCCTTTATTAAGTCAATATATGTGTGGTTAACTTATTTTGTTATGTGTCAGGGAAACAAAATGAATATAATGGGATTTTCACGTCCTTATGATTAAAGTATGGTAGAAGCTCCTGGAAGAGAGAGCCGTGTATGTAAAATATTTAAAATGTATTAATGTCTGTGTCCTACCACATCTTTTATTTACACATTCTACAATGCATCATTTTCAAATTGGGCTGCCCTTCCCGCAGTTCACAAATTCATATAAATTGCCTCAAAGTAAAATTAGAAATGAAGTAGATGTCCTTCTTAGAGCTATATGTTCTCTGTTCTCAAGTTGAAACAATTTCCATTTCCATTTATGTGATTCTTCCACAACCCCTCCTAGCTGTTGAGCTCACGAAGTCGCTTTACTTGCCTTCAGTCTCGCTGCTCTTCCCTGTTACATCTTGCCAATTCCTTTGGAAAGATAAAATTACTTTGGCAGCTAGATACAGGTATAGTGTAGATGTCGATGTGTAAAAGAACAACCAAGACTGATGGATGTGGTTTTGAGAATCATCTGCAGACCACTGAGAATTTCAAAATTGCCATCTCATCGTTAATCATCTTACCTTTTGCCAGTTCCCGTTTTCTTCACTTTATTTTCTTGGAAAAATAGCTAGAGAGAATTGCCTGTTTTTATCATAACACAAATTATAATATATGATCTTTGTGTCTGAGGTGAGCTTGCTTTGTTTTCTTACCTGTTTTATTGATAATAAAAAAAGTTGAAAAACCTGCATGTTAACTTTTTTATTAAAGCTTCATGTGAAATAATTTCTTTCTGAGCTTTCTTTCTTTCTTTTCTGATTACTTTACCACTGGTGTGATATGTCCACTCTTAAATACGTCTATTTTAGTCAAATATATAATTTAGGCTAATCACAGTTTTATATGGATTTGGGAGAACTACTATTCTAATGCAGGATTTTGAATACCTAGTAGAAGTGTCTCTCAAATTTACATTTAACTTTCATTATAAATTTAATAGTGTTTTCATAGTTGTATATGATCATGAACTCCTATGTAATAAGAATTAACATGATTAGTAATTCTTCTGAAGGAAGATTCTTGTCAATACGTTTAATATCACTCCTATCCTATTACATTTTTATAGGAGCTCATAAATTTTACTGATTTTTGATGGATATGATAAAAACTTTCAGGTTGTTGACTGACCTAGATATTTCTTTGGCCACTCCTTTTACCATTCTTTTTACCTGTGTTAAGTAATGATCAACCTGTATATGTAGATGAGCTCTGGGAGAGCTATGAATATTTGTTATTCCCCATTTCATTAGAATCCAGGACATCGCTCTTTTATGAGATAAATTTAGTTGCTAGATGAATCAACAATAAAACTAATAATCGTTGCATTTGCAAGTTGAGAATAAATTGCTTATCACACAGTTTTTTTGATATTCCATGGGAGATATTGCCTAGATTTCAAATTATATGAAAGGGTTATTAATTCACCTTTTGACCACTGAAATATATAATGAGAGAGGAATTAGAATTATTACCAAAGTCATTTTTAACATGTACAATGCTTGTCTTGGGTATATGTAGTTTTAGAGAACCAGAAAGGCTAATCAGGAATTTTTGATAAAAAATTGTATTCACCATCATCACAGTAAAGAGACATTAAATTAAATTCATTGAACACACACACACATACACACACACACACACACACAAAGATACATGAGCCTGTGGAGTTTTTCAATTAGCTCAATTCTGTCTGCCATGTGCTGGTCTGAAAATATATTGAGCAACATCTGAAGGAAAGTTTTCTCAAGATCATTTTAGACTTTTTAGAATTCCAAGGTCACTGTTTTGAACAGTACTAAGATGGCAAGTGGGAAACTACAAAGAGGGACAATTTCAGGGTTTCTTTTGATTTTTATGGTTTTGAAAAAGAAGAAAGCATAGGTCAAAGGAAAGAAATGTCATCCTCAGGTGACTCTCGTTTTGGACATAAAATAAAACTATCCATCCCCCAGATGACATAGTCTCTTTACACTAAAATAAAATCTAAGCAGCTCTGGTCAGTGTAGAATTTAAGAAAGCCAAACAAAAAAATATTTTTTCTGATATTGCAATATCACTATATTAGACCAGTTTATAGCAGCTGGGCCCAGTAAGCAACTTTATTTAAAATTTTTAAAAAATCTGTGTGTGGGGGTGTGTTTAACATGTGTTGCACAATACTCTGGTCTGTCCTTGCTTCTAAGAGAGTTAACCATATTATGCTAGTACACCTTACAAATCATATAAAAATAATCTTTGCTCTTTTAGGCAGGAGGAAAAATGTCCACTTTACTAAAGGTGTCACTTTACCTTCTCAGTACCAGATTTCTTTGTTTCCTTTTATATCTGTCTAACATTTTATGTTTTCTTTAACGTTTGTTTGAAATCTTATGCTTCTCATACCTATGAATGTTTGTATAATATTATTTTCTTTCTCATCACTATTTGCTTTTTCACTTTCAAACATATTTAGTTATTTCCCAGGTTTTATCATTTTCATTTTCAAAAATTTCTACACTGCCATTTTTTTCTTAACCTTTTACAACCTTCAGGAGTGTGAATTAAATTGAATCACAAGATATTGTGTTCATTCTCTGGAGTAGGAAGAAACAGCTGAATAAGAAAGTAATCAAATTCAGTAGTGAACTCATGAGAGAGACAAATCTACAGGTAGTTGTGAGGTCTAATTTTATGTATCAACTTGGGTAGCCTAAGGAATCCTCAGATACTTAGTAAAATGTACTTTTGGGTATGTCTTATTAGTAGGCTGATTATATACCCTCAAACATTTGTCAGGCATCATTCGATCTTTGAACATCCAGATACCACAAAATGGTGCATGAAGGATAAATTGCTCTGTCTCTATTTGAGCATAGATTTACATCTGCTTCCCTAAAACATTAGAGCTTCTGGTTCTCAGACTGTAAGTTTCTTACTAAATTATACCATACTACTGGCTTTCCTGGTTCTCGCTTGGATATGAAAAATCATGGAAACTGTTAGCCACTAATAATTGGGTGAGGAATCCGCATAATGCAGCCCTCGGGTCTTTCTGCCTTTCCCCATCCTAATTGTTCTGTTTCTTTTGAGAACAATGAGACTAATGTCTCTTTCTGAAACATCCTGGCATCCATGTCTTTCAAGCCCAAAGTGATGTTTTATCTTTTCAATTTGCCAAATGTGTTTTACAGCTGGTTGCTAATTTGTGACCCCCTCCACACATTACACATACACACACACATACAGAGGATATAAATATCTCTACGATTGAATAATATAGTTAAGGATATATTAGTCTCTATTATTGAAGGGTATTTGTTGTTATCCTTTTATGTATGACAAGCTTTCTCTACATAAAAGTTTTGTCACAAATATAGGACATGAACAAGAGCGTGATTTTGTTATTATATATTTTTCAGAGTATGCATCTGCTTATTGAAAAACATTGCATAGTAACACTTAGATATCAAGCAGACTGCTTACCTTTGATTTCCAACCTTCTTCAAGCTGCTTCATTTTCTTCATATATCAGGTATAATTATTCCTTTGGAAAAAATCTCCCGTGGACTTTATTTTCCTTTTTTTCCCCCACTTAAGGAAGAAATAACAACAATAGTTAAACTCAACTATCCACCTAATCTACATAACCTATGTGAATGAGGCTGATGATCCTCATAGCTAGACAAATCGTAAAACTTTACTTATTCAACGTGCTTTAATGTTATGAGCAAATGTCTAAAGTAAACACAAAGGAACATGAAATCTAATGTCATTTTCTGATTTTGCTGGTCCTTCCACTCACAGAAAACTTTACTCAGGCAACTCATCACTTTCTTCTACTCTCCAGAAAAAAAGATTTCCTTTATTAGAGGTCTTCTCCTGCCAGTTAGTGCTCTCATCAATATTTATTGCCCAGTGTACCCAAATAAATTTTAGTTTTAATACCAGAAATGAAAAATTTCAAAAGACCTCATCTATTTGCTGAATCGGTTTCCCATCTTATTTCTTTATCATAGCCTAAGATGTGTGTTTTAAGATCTTTCTCATGCTTTAAAATAACCTTTGACTTCAAATCTATTTTCCCTATAATGATAAAATATAAAATGAAAAATAGGATTTCAATCTAGCATCATCATTGTAATATTTTAGTATACTACAATAATTATTTTCTGGTAGCACAACTAATGAACTTCAGTATCCTGAAGAAGTATCTACTCTAATAATAATAAAATTTGTAACTTTCATTATGATAGAATTTTATAATTAGTGAAATTAAAAGGCAGTTGTAACATTACAGACTCAGATTTCTGTGTTGCAAATCTAAGCTAACTACAAAATGTCCTTGCAAAGTTTTAACACTCCTACAAATCTAATTCAAAATAAAGTAAGGTTTTTGAAGAAAACTAATAAATCTTAGGAGAAAATGTATTTATTTCTCTATTTTATGGATAACAAATTGATCCTACCTTTTTGTGGAAAATTAAGTAGAATGGAGAAATGCTATTTTCACAGTTGTGATAAAATCTTTGTAGACCTAATAGTTATAATAGATAAATGCCATTATTTTCATAGTTTAGAAATTCATACATATACAAGACAAAATTTTAGAAAGATATTTTATCATTAGAATCCAGTTTGAACTACAAAACTCTAAAGTCAAAGAAGAAATGCAGTATAATAAAGATGTTGACAAAGAAGAAACAACTAAAAATTTCATGAAGACTATGAATAGGACATTCTTTTTTTTGTAGTTTGTAATTGTTTTCTTTTTTTTAAAATTTAGTTTATTGGTACTTTTTAGCTACCAATACATTTTACAGTATGTACATCAGGTTTTTTAAAATCAATTGCTGTAAAGTGTTTTTAATCTTAAAGTTATTAAATACAGTAGATGTTTTGATATCACATGGGTTAAACATTTATCATTGTAGCAGAACATGGTGTTGGTCAATGGTAAATACTTTTAAGAAAGAAAATACAGAGCCAAGTTAAAATTTAGGATCTGCCTTTTTCTTCCTGTAGCAAGGAAGTAATATATCATATGTTTCAAAAGGCTCCTGGGAGGATAAATGAGAAAAATTATGTAGTTAACAAAAGTCATTGTAATGATTTGTTGATAAATCAATATACTAATTTACTTGCCAATTTTACTAGAATCTCATTAGAAACTAACCGAGTTTGAAATTCCTCCATTTTGGCTTCCATAAGATCACACATATGGTAGTAATTATTCTCCTGTCTTGTTTGCTCTTTCCTTTTTGTTTCATTTGAAGATACCCTTCTTCCTCTTGTTTTCTGAATCTGGAGCTTTCATGGTTGAGTTTTAGGTCTCCAGCTCTTTTTAGTTTGTACTCTCTTTACATCTTCGTATCTAAGTTTTTTGGATTAAATCTACTTCTAAAATGCTTTCCAAATCTTCCAAATCTAGATGTCTAGCAAACACTTCATCTGAGTCTCATGAATATACCTAATTGCTTACATAACATTGAGTCATGTGTTACTTAACAATGGGGATAAATTCTGAGAAATACATCATTAGGCAATTTTGTCCTTATGGCAACATTAAAATATACTTACACTAATTAGATTGCATGAGCCACCACACACCTAGACTATATAGAATGCACATAAATAATTTTTTACCACATTGCTCCTAGGATAGTAGTATAAACAACAACAACATGAAATATGACCCCCCCAAAAAAACACAATGTAATTAAGTAATGTTGAAAAGATGTACGTATGAGGATGCTGCTGACATAACATAACATACTGTTTTGTAGCAAAAATTTTAATAAATAATTATATACTCTAAAATTACAATAAAATCTGTAGTATGAGAAGTCCATGACCAATAACAGAGACATTTATTACCAAGCATTGTGTACTTTACATAACTATATGCATTATACTTTCATATAACTGGCAGTTCAGGAGATTGTTAACATCAGCACCAGCACAAACACAGTAGTAACAGCTTATGTTACAACATTAAGACAGCTACAGTATCACTAGATGAAAGGGATTTTTCAGCTGCAATATTATGGAATAACCATCTTTTTTGTGGTCTTCCTTTAAGTCAAATGCTACATAGCACATGGGAATATTTACTTAAATGTTTCAGAGTTGTTTTTAAATAACTGATACAGAATTTAGTTCTTATCTTTTTCCCAAACTTGTTTTTCTTCTATTTTTCCTAGTACTGAGAAAGGGAATTTGCATCCCTAGAAGAGTGTTCATGAATCCATCCTTGGGTGTTATTTTGTCATATCTATCTCAATCCCTATATTCTATACATTGCATTTAATTTGTTTTTTAAAGTGCTAAATTTAAGTCACAGAAGTTTCTATGCCAGTCTTCCCTTCCTTTTACTACACATGTAGCTAACTAACTGGACTCTCAATTTCTTCCCACACTCATCAGTGGATTCATCTATTGATGAGTTTATAACTAAATGTGATGTTAGGAAATGAGGCCTGGTTGAATCTGATTGATCAGTGGCAGTAGGCTCTGGATGAATGTATTTATTTAACTAGCTCCTCTCTCTTATCTTTTTCTGCTTCCTAGCAAGTAAATGTCTTATTACCAAATCTGAATTGAGCAGCTTTCCTTCTCTATGCACCTTTTTTATGGCATTTCTGCCTTTGAACTCGCCAGCCATTGACTGAACCCTCTACAGCCACTAGCCAAAACAAATCTCTTTTCATGTTGCATATGTTGGATATTTTTTCCCACCAATAACAAAGTGACTAATGCAATAACTATAAAAAATAATATATGTTTGGTATTAAGGCCACACTGTCAAATTAAGTAAGAATTTCTAGAACTTATGAGGTAATTTAAAAAATTTTAGGCACATATGACATTTGCAGTAAGAAAATCATCTGATAAAGGGACAAATATGTTCTTGATATTAATAAGTGGTTGCACGTTTAAACCTGATGTTTTGATTAAGATGATATACTTGTCAAAACAGAGTACAATTATGTCATGAATAGAAAGTTGATTTCATATTTTAATTTTAATGGAGATTGGATATTTGAATTCTTAGACATGTGTCTGAATTTAATAACCATCAAATATACTTTCAGATTGAATGACCGAGTCAATTATTTTTCCAAAAGTAGTTATTAAAAGAGTTTTAATACATAAGAATAGCAATGGAATAACTCATGAATATTCTATGTTTCCAAAATTAATCACAAATCAACTTCTAGTTTACTTTTTTTCTGGAATCATTATTAAGTGAATTGGAGATGCTCATGAATTACAAAGTGATGAAATGGCAATGACTTTTGAAATGGGTAAGACTATGAAAGTACATTGAGAACCCGTGCCGTGCTTAGATTGATCTTTTCTGTTACATATTGTAGGTTTGAGTTTCCAATTTTGAAAAAAAATCAAATCTTAATTTATTTTATTTCAGAAAAACCATAAAACACTAAAATAGAATAAACAAAACAGTTTTATATTTCATAATGTTAGAGTAATAAATTAATAGTAAAATGTTACTTATTTATTCTGTAATGTGAAATGTTTTACCATTGGATTCCAGAACAGTTTCAAATTATCTGTACACACATTATAGGACTTAATAAAAATATTTTGCTTTCAAAGCTCCTCATTTCTATCATGTCCTCTCAGCATTCAGATACCAGTGAATTTAGCTATCTCGATTAACTGTATTTAGGGAATAGGTGGAAAAAATGGAAAGCAACAGGGAAAGGGAATTATTATAAGTTAAATAAATATAGAACAGACCCTTGAATCCTGAGAACACATAGCTTGAATTTCTATTTTTTAACAGATATGTTGTGTAATGAAGAATTATTTTTTCTTACATATCAGTCCGTATTTTCCAGAAAACTGCCCAAGTATAATAATTTGGCCTATGCTTTAATGGAGTCTTCAAAGAGTCTTATTTCCATGCTATAAGTTTAGGTTGTCCTCACTATATTAGACAACATGGTAAGACCAGTGACTTGCATGTGCAAAAAAAATACCTATAGGCTGATAATATTTCAGAAACCTTTGAATCTGATAGATTATATAACTCAAACAGCAGAGTAGCTTTAAGAGCAGCCTGGATTCCTTGCAGATCATCCTCTTATTCCATGCCCCAGTTAAAACCAGCACACTTTCTAGGCACTCAGTAAAGGCCCGGAGCAACACAACAAAATGAGAAACATGTTGTCTCCAAACCAAATAATCAGTAGGCCTTGACCATTTTTAATTGTAGGAGTGGCCAAATGCATCGATTTCTTCTTATCTTAGAAGAGATATTTTAAAATGCCCCATGCCACCTAATCTCTGGTATTTTCACTGAGGTAAAAGGTTTCTGAATTTTTGTCAGATTTTTTTTTTTTTGCCTGTTCTGACAAGTAAATATGTTACTAACAAAAGGAGAATAGTTACTACTTTCTGCTCATGAACTCCAGTCAGATCATGTCATGTCTTACAGAAAGTACAGATGATATATATAGAAAAGATTATCAAAAGATGGTGAATGTTAAATTTTTAATATTTCTTACTGTAAAAGACAAATAACCACTTATCCCATTCACATTACCCACCTTATTTCAAATATACTATTCCATTAGTTTCTCTGGTGTGAACAAACTTTAATAGTACATAAGATCCTAATGATATAATAGACAATGAGAAATAGGAAGAAAAGGGCTAAAGGTGTAGGGAAATTGGGAAGGGTGGGGGAAAGGTAATAAGGGAAAGAAAAAAAAGGAGAAAATGAAAATATGGAAATAAAATGTTTGTAAATGAAGAGGGGAGAAGCTGGTGAAAGGAGGGCAGGGACAAGGGGAAAAAATGAGAACCAAGACCTGACATGTAAAAGTACAAGATCCTAATGATGAAGGTAACTGTACTGTACACCTAAAATGCACCAATAAACTAAATGAGAAAAAAAAATACACTATTCCACCTTCTGATGCAGTTCTGGAAATCCTGTTTCTTAACTCTTCTTACAGTGCTATTTTAAAAATATGGTGAGTACTTCTGCTGAGTGTCACCCAACAGGACAGACTCATTCACAGAAACATTATGTTGTAATCCTAGTTCTTTGAGGTATCTCCATATTGACTTGCATAGTGGTTGTACCAGTTTGCACTCCCACCAACAATGGAGAAGGGTTCCTTTCTCCCCACAACCCCGCCAATATTTGTTATTGTTTGATTTCTTGATAGCAGCCATTCTTTGTGGGGTGAGGTGAAATCTCAGCGTTGTTTTCATGTGCAGCTCTTGAATGACCAATGATGTGGGACATTTTTTCATATATTTACTTGCTGCTTTTATTTCTTTGTCTGAGAAATGTCTGTTCATTTCAGATGCCCATTTTTGAAATGGGTCTTTACATTGGGGGGGGCTGATTGTTTTGAGTTCTTTATATAGATCCAGCCATTACTCTGTTGGGTATCTTGCCAAAAGAATTAAAAAAATAATACCACAGTGATATATGGGCACGCATGTTTATAGCGACACACTTTGTAATGGCTAAAACTTGGAAACAGCCCATTTGCC